GGATTCTCCTTCTCCTTGCCAAGCACTGCAAACAAGATCCCGTAGCTGAGGCCCCGCTAGACAGCGTTCAACTTCCTACTCTATCTACTTCAGAATGAGCAAACGTCAGGTTATGAGCTCAAACAGGGTATCTCTTCGTGTTCAAGGATCATCGAGAAGGTTGGTTCAACCTGAACCGAATGGTCGCAAAGGCAACAGTACAACGCCAGTAAAGCGTCTTCGGAACCGTCAAGGTCGCCACCGTCGTCACCATCGTCTGAGGATGCTGTCTCAATCAGCGGTTCTGTGAGCTCGGTGCGTTCGGACTCTTCGTCTGATAGGAGTGCGCCTGAGTCGAGTACAAATAGCTCGGAACGGCAAAGCGGCTCTAAGCGAAAACGTGCTAGCAAGAAGAAGCGCGACCGGTCCACAACGAGGGACATGCCAAGCCTTGAAGTGCCCAAGTTCACAGGTGCTGACGACTATGAACTATGGAGGACAATGATCGAGTTAAAACTCAAGGTACAAAACCTGTGGTCTTTAGTGGCCAAAGAAGTGGTCCAAGGCAGCTCCTGGAGCTCTGCCAAGAAGCGACGCTGGAATGAGCGGTGGCAGAAGGCTCAAGCTATCATCACCGGCTCGCTCGGGCCGCGTCTAGCCGGTCGGTACAGGCGGCTGCTTGTAAACTGCGATCCTGTGCAGTTATTTGAAGAGACGCTTGGAAACCCTCTTGAAGATGCTGAACTTGCTTGACTTCTTCTCACTAATGCCCTAGAAGTATTTCCGGACCTAAGTACGGAGTTGGTTGGAGGAAGAATGAAAGCGAGAGAGTTTGACGTCGGTCAAGTACGTGGACGACTATTGGCACGAGAACAGGGGGAGAATATGCGACTTTCGGCCGGAGGTAATGTGTCTCAGATCGGTGGTAACGCTATAGGTTCTCAACGTGGTCAATCCACTACACATGCAGTTTTCCAAATTTCTATTGAACGAAATAACGGGAACAGATACAACCAGAATCAAGGCAGGGGGAACCAGAGTCGTCACCAGTCAGTGAAGGAAGCCATGCAACGACGACCGTGTGCGAAATGTGGTAAACTAGGCCACTGGTATCGAGATTGCTGGCAGAAAGTCGATCAGAACACAGGCAACCACCAGAAGAACAATGGCGGTCGACGGTCGTCTGGTCAAGGTGATGGTCGAGGTGGTGGTCGGCATGGCAAGTCTGGACCCAAGTCGTTTATGGCAAATGTCGGCGGAGTTCTGTCGGTTGGAGGTCCTGATGTCATGGAGTGGTGTTTGGACAGCGCTGCAACGACAAACATCTGCAACGATCATCTGCAACGATCGCTCTCGGTTCACTGAGATTTCAGCAATTGGTGAGGGTCTTGAAATGCTGTGCGCAAATGGAAGTACTGTAGTTATTAATCATGCTGGTAGTGGGTTTTTTGATCGCTAACGAGCTGACAGGGTGCCAGGAGAAGCGGCTTCTGTCTGATGTCTACTATGTGCCAGATGCACCCGCAAACTTGCTCTCGCAGGACTATATGCAGATACAACTGAACTATTACCTCTCCATGTCTGCGGATCAGTCGTTCTGCTTCTTGGATAAAGAAGGAATGCCCCTCAAGTTCGTAAAAGTAGGTGGTCTTTATCGATTGTGGTCATTACGACCAATGGCTATACTCCGCAAAAGAACGGAATTGTCGAGCGTGCGAATGAAATTGTTTTGTCCAAGGTTCGAGCTCTACTTCACGTGACAATTTTACCGGAGTTGTTATGGGGAGAAGCAGCGCAGCACATTGTCTACACGTTAAATGTTATGGCGACGCGAGTCCTACAAGGAGTGACACCTCACGAGAAATTCTCTGGTGAACCACCTGATGTCAAGTGCTTGAGGTCGTGGGGGTGCTTGACCTACTACCACATTGCTAGTGGAGAGCGGTCCAAGAAGAAGAAGCTGTCGTCTAGAGTTGGTACTTCAATTCTTATCGTGTATTCTGCTGCTACTCATGGGTATAAGGTTTTGGATCTCTCGAGTGATGCTGTGTTGACTCACCGTGGTGGAAACTTAACCTTTGCTGAAGGCTATACAGTGGCGCGTGCTTACTTGGACATGTCGTTGAGTAACGCATACGACCATGGAGACCACGATCTACCGGCGAAAGCATCGCTTGTGCCTATGCAGAAGCAACTGGAGGATGTTATTCTCGTGCAGCTCGACCAAACTCAAGTTGTCGTGGACTTGCCTGGTGCGACTAACCCTGCTTCTGTCGTTGATCAATCCGCTACCAATGTACTTCAACAGGAAATTCCAGTGAGTACTCCCGTTGAAAATGTTCCTGAAGGTGACACTGTTGCTCGGCATAAAGTGTCACGGTTTGTAAGAAAGCGGAAGAGAAGTTCACGTTTAATTGATTTCGAGCTTCATCTAGCGGCAAACAAAGTGTTGAAGATTTTACAGAGCGAGTTACGACCAATTAGGGAATCGAATTTGCATTCTCGAGATGTACCTATTCCAGCCACTTACAAGCAGGCCATCCGCTCAAAATTCGCTTACGCGACGGCAGGCAGCCATGGCTAAAGAGCTTGATTTGCTGCGCAGGCATGGTGTGTGGATTGTCGTGGAGCGCTCGAAAGCTGGAGGCGCACAGGTTATCACTAACAGGTGGGTGTATGCTGTGAAGAAGGACAAGCCAGGGTTCGTGAAGAGGTTCAAGGTTCGGCTTGTCAGTCATGGATTTAAGCAGAAATGTGGTGTCAACTGCAACGAGACTTTCGCCCCCGTCATTCGTTTTGATACTATTCGAGTGGCAATTGATTCTGTAGTTCAACGGCAGTGGGTTGTTCTTGAATAGGATGTTAGAACAGTTTTCCTCCATGGAGCACTAGCTGAGCTCGTCTTCATGGAACTACCTCAAAACTGCGGTTCACTTGGAAACCAACAGGTCTGTCAACTGATCCAGCCGTTGTACGGCTTGAAACAGGCTTCGTACGTCTGGAATAAGATGTTGCATAGGCATCTCGTTGCTATTGGATTTAACCGTTTGGAGAGTGACCATTGCATTTATTCTCTCATCGAGAAGGGGGAGGTAGTCATGCTCCTGACCGTTCACGTGGATGACTTGCTGCTTATGGGGGAAATTTGACTGCTCGATGCGAAGCTATTGCCCGAAAATTAGCTGCTAACTTTGAATTAGTGGAGCTTGGACCAGTCAAGTACCTGTTGGGGGTAGAAGTGAGCATCGATCCTGCAAATGGTAGTTTTTTTTTCAGCCAACTCAACTACGTTGAGAAAGTGCTCCTTCGGTTTCATATGCACGACTGCCATGGCGTCGCGACACCGGAGGCAACAGCAGCTGACACTGCAACTGAAGAATCGACTACTGAAATGAGTGATTTGCCGTATCGAGAAGCTGTTGGAGCTTTCCAGTATCTCGTCTCGGGATCTCGGCTAGATATTGCTCACGTTGACCGTCGTCTTGGACAGTACATGTCGTGCTTCAGTGCGGCTCACTCTGCACAAGTCAAGCGTAAACTTCGGTACATGCAAGCCCCGAAGGACTTTGGCCTCAGTATGGTAGCATCGAGCTCAACCAAGGTCGATTTGCAACGGATCGAGGCCTACAGCGATGCAGACTACTCCAATGACAAGATTGACCGTCAGTCGGTCAGTGGATACGTCACTATGCTGAACGGCAGTGTCATTTCGTACGGCTCAAGGAAACAGGGGTTAAATGTACCATGGAAGCTGAATATACTGCGATGGATGAAGGCGCGAGGGACATTATGTGGCTGCGGGGTTTCTGTGATGAACTCAAGTGGAATTACGACCTGCCAACACTTTGGTGTGACAACACAGCAGCTATTGCTTTGTCGAAGAAGCCTTGGAAGCACAATGGCAGTAAACACATCGAAAACCGGTTCCACTACGTCCAAAACCTCGAAGATAGAGAGCTGGTAGCAGTGCAGCATTGCGGAACTAACGATATGACAGCGGACATCTTTACTAAGCCACTGGTTAGAGTCAAGTTCGAGTATTTCCGAAATTTACTTGGTGTTGTTTGTCGTGCTGAGGTAGGGGGAGCGAAGGGCGCGTCTACCCAGGACGATGGTATTTATGCTGCGAGCATGGTGGTGATGTTCCAGTCAAACTCAAGCTAATTGGTGGTGGTACCCGGGTGGAGATGGTATCTCTAGGTCGGCGATCAACGATGTTGCGTTGGTGGTTTGACAACAGTACTGATGTTCATGTACGAGCTGTTGGCGCGATGATCGCGTGGCATTGCTGTACGAAGGTCATGCGCAATTGGTTTAGTAGCTACGATGTTCGTCAGCTGAATAACGTCTACAGAGCTACTAGTCGGGTATGCAGGTTGAGACGGGCTACATGAAGCAAGGGAGAGTGTTGAAGATCACCTCTGACTCAGTGAGTCTTATGCTCACGTCAGCTGAAGGATCCCAGTAGATAAGATGTTGAAGTAGTGTACAACTCTTATATAATATATTTAGGATCGATGCAGCTGCAGGGCTTGACGGCAAGGAGAGAATTTATCACTTGTGGATTCTCCTTCTCCTTGCCAAGCACTGCAAACAAGATCCCGTAGCTGAGGCCCCGCTAGACAGCGTTCAACTTCCTACTCTATCTACTTCAGAACGAGCAAATGTCTGGTGGTTTGGACAAATCTTCATTCAAGTAGCGCAGGAAATTCTACTTGGTTTACCGTATTTGTCGGTGTTGCTGCACGCTTGTTCCCAATAGAGTTGAAACTAAGCTGGGAAAGAAGCAAATGGTTCCACTAAAGCTGTTCTTATATTTTCGATCTCGTTTACGACCACATACAGAGGCTCTGATGTGAATTTTTCGATATACAGCTGGAATTATTTGCATGGTTTGAGTAAATTGAGTCCTTTGGGCTCCTAAGTATAAATTTCTACAGTTTTTTGGGGTTAGAATGACTTGCCTCCTAGAATTTTGGGTATAAAATTTAGAGATAAGTTTACCGTACTGTACACGCATCTCTTTCTCTGGGCGCCTCCACGGTTCTGGTACGGATGCCTTCCTCCTGTCTGCAACTGGTTTGTTGGGCCCCAGACAGAAGTCCGACGAGAATATGTACCTACGAAACTTGCAAATCAGTCCTCCATGATCCAGCCGTCAGATTATCGAAGGGGTCAAGTCCTTCGTAAAACTCGGCAAATTAAAAATAAGTGGAGGTATGATCGCAGATTTTCGTCATCACGACGACGTCTAACATGTCCCTTGCTCTCAATAGTTTACGAGTCAGTCCGGATGCAGGATAATTTCAAATGGGCTGGAGCGTGATTGTTATATTCAGCTTGAGCCCAATCTATATCCATTCAACTTGATCTATTACTATAATCAGGCCAACCGATGGTACCAAATCCGTTCCATCCGTCGTCACTTAGTCGATTTACGGGGGCGTGCCGATGACAGCACAATGAAGAAGATTGCATTGTAGTTTCCACTGCCAGGGTGTGGCGTAGCGGGTTATACTCAACAGCGTAAATCTGAAACTAACGCTACTACGCTTCCAAGAGGTCGGCGTTGGTTTCATCTTTCTCGTTCCTAGTCTCAAAAGCTATCCCGCCAGAGCATGAAAATATTCATTTCAACCATCGTAACTTAGTCGATTTACGGGGGCATGCCGATGACGGCACAATGAAGAAGATTGCATTGTAGCTTCCACTGCCAGGGTGTGGCGTGGCGTGTGGATACCCCCTTCAAGAGAGTTGATGTGCAGTCTTCATCATTGCTTGTGCCATTCTTGTCGATAGTTGTCCACTTATTCTTGTGTATCGTTCCACGGCATCAGATTTCCATCGTCCAAATAGTTTGACCGCTAGACCATCAAATCCAGCGTTAGAAAGTGCTGTAGCTCCTCCACTTCGCAGAGAATGAGACCCGTAGTTGTTAGGATCTTCTCCGACGGCTTGGGCGGCGGCTTTGATGGCGTTGACCACGTCTCGTACTTGAAGATCGCGCTTCAGGTCGAGTTTGCACAGGAGAGTTCCCGCTTTTGCACCAAGGTTTTTTATGGTGACTCACCAAG